TGTTGATAAGTATGTTTGTACATGTTGATAGGTAAGTTTGTGGATGTTGATAAGTATGTTTGTACATGTTGATAAGTATGTTTTTACATGTTGAAAAGTATGTTTGTACATGCTGATAAGTATGTTTGTAGATGTTGATAAGTATGTCTGTACGTGTTGATAAGTATGTGTGTGTATTGGCCATCCTCAAATCGACTCTGCTATTCCAAGTATGTTTCTATATGTTGATAGATAGGTGTGTATGTCTTTTGGGGGGTGATGATCATTCGCACTTTATCACTGCTACTGCACGCATGCTTCAATATACACAATTGGTATACGTCGACTAGACATACTCGCGTGCATGTAACTTAAGTGTGGCGATGGTATATATTGTTATGTGCGTGTGGGTGTGGTTGTTGAATGCGCAGTATTGCGTCGTTAGGCCACCCGTATAAGTTGTGTACCCAATTCCAATTTATTTCAGCTAAAATCCCTGGTGTTCGAAAATGGGTATGGTGCTGTTTCGGTTTTATTGTACCATACCAATCATGACTATCCTTAGGCTGCTAATTCAAAGGCAAATGTGCGGAACTTTATTGTGTGTGCTCGTGACCCGCCTGTGTACTTCTGTGAATGTACTACCGCATATGTGTGTACGGTAACCGCTGCTTTGCTTCCTGTGGCTGTGATCCGGATAAGCAGTATCGTGCGCATGGGATTGTGCGGCATGGCCTATAGCGAATGCTGCCATGACAGTTGTATGTGGGGGTGGATAAGTGGGCAACTATGGCTCCTGGGCGTTTATTGGTTGACAGATCCAATACCCCATGGGCAGTTGTGTATGTTTGTCCTTGCGTGCTTGTGTACGTCTCATTTGCACTGCTGTCCGTGTGCGAGGCATTCCCCCATGTCTTGGCACATGTGTAGTTGTGCTTGTGATTTGCACATGTGTAGTTGTGCTCGTGATTTGCACATGTGTAGTTGTGCTTGTGATTTGCACATGTGTAGTTGTGCTCGTGATTTTGATGTCCTCCTACGTACTGTAGCATGTATTTCCCCCGTGCACCCAATCTCGGCTCATCCACTCTCGCACACGCCAACCGGTTTATTAATCCCTGCTCAAATACGCGGCGTCTGGGCCTCTGTTTCCATCAACGTAGACATGCGATACACATTCTCGTACGCACTCTCATAACCATGTGATGTGTATTTGCATGTATGCTTGTGCTTACCCCTCTCATAACCATGTGATGTGTATTTGCATGTGTATTTTCATATGTGCTTGTGCTTATCCCGTTCATCCTCATCTGCCACAGTTCTTCACGTATGTCGAGCTGCCCACGTTCGATGTTGCTGCAGATGCGTTTGCGACATTTAAGGAACTCATTACGCGGCACAAGGTGGTGGTGGCAGAGGTGCTTGAGGCTAAATACGAGGAGGTATGCATGCGCACACTTTCTGTATATATGTATAGGTATAGGTATATATATATATATATATATATATATATATATATATATATATATATATATATGTATGTATGCATGTATGTATATATATATATATATATATATGTATGTGTGTGTGTTGTATATGTGTATATGTAGATGTATATGTATATGTATATGTATATGCATATGCATATATATATATATATATATATATATATATATATATATATTTTATATATATGTATATATATATATAAATGTATGTATGTATGTATGTAGATATGTATGCATATATGTATAAATGTGTATATATTCATGTCTGTCAGTATGTCCGTATGTATGTGTCTATTTATGTATGATATATATATATATATATGCGTGTGTAGGTGTGTGTGTGTATATACATACATATACATATATATATGTATGTATATATATATACATATATCTTTGTATATTGCATAATATATATATATATTGTATTTATTTATTATTGAATTTATATAGCGCTTATAGCCATCTGCACCCTTTGCATATTTGTTGGTATTCGGTGCTAAATGTTCCTGTCCTCATTCTTAGGACTTACAGCCATCTATCTTCACATATATATTAAAATTCCGTCCTCAACGCCCCCTGTCTACTTTTATTGTAGTTCTTCAAACACTACGACAATCTGCTGGACTCCAGCAATTACGTCACCAGGCGCCAGTCGTTAAAGGTATGTTGCACGCACGTGCACCGAGTATGGACTGTGACTCTTACACGAGCAAGCTTGTATTGTATGGCTTGGTATCCACTTTGTCTGATATGTTTGCGCTGTTTATAGTGAATCGCTATTCTTTGCATTCGGGGGCTCGCCGCTAAGGTGACGGCGTGGGTTGGAATCAGTTGCTTTCTCGTAGCATCTGCCTGTGTGTAGACTTACTACTACAAATGCTCTGTGGCCCTTATCTCGTACATACCTCCGTGCCTGTTCCACGTCAGCTATGTCACAAGGAAACAACCCAGAGAACGACTACACGTACAAATACTGCCGCGTGTATCAATCTATAGGCGCGAGTTTATGGGCATAAATATACGCCTGCTCATATGTACACACATATATGTCTGTATACATGGACATAAGCGTATAGCTCTGCTTGACCATTTCTGACACCACCCGCACCATTCGCAGCTTCTGGGCGAGATTCTGTTGGATCGGGCCAACTTCAACATAATGACTAGATATATCTGCGGACCGGAGAATCTGAAGCGCATGATGAACTTGCTCAGAAGCAAAAGCAGGAACATCCAATTCGAAGCCTTCCATGTGTTCAAGGTACGATACCGTGCTTTAGGTGCGTATACAGGTCTGCATGTGCCGTACGAATATAGATCACATTTGTTGTATGCCTAAACCTGGGAATCTCGCGAATCTGAGCCTGCTTCATGTTCACTGCATGTATTTGCTATGTTACGAATATAGAACACATCGGCCGTGAATTCGTGCTGAAGCTGGCTCATAGTTCATGGGCGCACGCCTGTCTGTACCAATTGTGTCGGACATGGCGTGTGTATATACTCGGTGGATGCTGTGGTTCGATTCATCCTTGAAAAGTCCTGTTAGGGGCCTGTTCATGCTTTTACCCTACCGTGCATATTCACCTCTACTTCATTTCAATTCTTCTCACTATCTTTACCTGTACTTTACTTTTTTCTTCTTCTCAGGTGTTTGTTGCCAATCCAAATAAGCCCGAGCCTATCCTCAACATTTTGCTGAAGAACAAGGAGAAACTGGTCGATTTCTTGAACAAGTTTCACAACGATCGCACGGGTATGCACATATGTTTGAATGTGTGTATGGGTGTGTATTAGGTGGTAATATTGAGTGTTTAGGTGTATATACGGGAATTGGAGATGTATGCGAGGGTGCTGAAGAGTGCGTATGTGCATTAACAGTATATGTATGACTGATTGCAAGTATGTGCAGGAGTATATTGGGTGTAAATGTATATTGTATGTATATACGGTTTTCACATATAGTTAACATATCGATATACAAAACATGACCAATCACGTGCCCTATCTAATCTTCGTTTACTAACCCACTGTATATACTCGCAGATGATGAACAATTCAACGACGAGAAGGCCTATCTTATGAAACAGATCCAAAATTTACATCCGGCGTCGGCGTCTAATGCCGCCAATCCTGGTGGCAGCAGTCCTCAGCCCGTATAAAGTCCTAATTTTCAACTAATACTATTGGATCAAATGTCCCAATTTCTTTTACTACTCGGGTCAAAAACCAAGTTTTTTGGGCACTTTTTAAATCTGCTTTGCATCAGAAGTGTGTACCTCCGTCCGTGACATACGCAGATGTTTCTGTAGGAATCTCGCGTGTGGGCGGCACTCAATAGAAATTGCATTGTTCGTGTGGAAGCGATGATCTATCTTGTAGGTACCCTTGTTTAACAGATTTTGAAAGCAAAGAGTATCCGTAGCCAACTCTGAGGAGCATATTAAATATCTGGTGGATTTTGACGTAGTAAGCAACCCACACAAGGTCGCAAAACATACTTGCGCACAGATGTTCGGTCAAGAATGGTCTCCTGTCGTTTAAGCTTTAAAGAGGGTTACACGTCTCAGCATCTCGATCTATGGACAATGTCGACTATGTCTGGTTATTTTTTAAATTTTATACGGGCCTTTTCGATCTATAGGTATCGACTGTCTGGTTCTGTTTTCAACTGTAAGGCCTCTCGATCTATAGATATCGAATATGTGTGTTTCTGTTTTTTAACTGTACAGAGGCCTCTCGATCTGTAGATACCGACTATGTGTGGTTCGATTTTTTAACTGTACAGCTCTCGATCTATAGATATCGACTATGTCTGGTTGTATTTTAAACTGTAAGGCATCATGATTTATGAATATCGACTATGTTCGGTTCTGTTTTTGAACTGTAAGGCATCTCAACCTATGAATATCGACTTTGTCTGGTTCTGTTTTGATACAGTATGGCCTCTATGCAAATGGACTATGTCTAGTTCTCTCATGTTTCTGTAAAGCCTCTCGATCTATAGATGTCGACTATGTCTGGTAGTGTTTATAACCGTAACGCCTCAAGACCTATGGACATCGACTATGTCTGGTTCTGTCATGGCATTGTGATGCCTCTCGATCTAAAGATATTGACTTAATGTAATTCCATCTATGGATATCGACTATATTCGGTTCTGTCATGGTGCGGTAACGCCTCTTGATCAATAGGTATCGACTATGTCTAGTTCTGAATTTAACTCTAAAGGCATCTAGATCTATAGATCGACTATGTCTGGTTCTGTCATGGCATTGTTATGCCTCTCGATCTATAGATATTGACTATGTTCGGTCCTGTTTTTTAATTGCAATGCACTTTCATCTATGGATATCGACTATATTCGGTTCTGTCATGGTGCGGTAACGCCTCTTGATCAATAGGTATCGACTATGTCTAGTTCTGAATTTAACTCTAAAGGCATCTAGATCTATAGATCGGACTATGTCTGGATCTGCTTTTTAACTGTAAGGGTTTTGTAAGAAATCTGAATCTATGGATATCGACTATGTCTGGTTCTATCTTGATACTGCAAGGCCTTTTGATCAATGGATATCGACTCCATTTGATTCTATCATGTTTCTGTATTAAAAGCCTCTCGATCTATAGATATCTACTATGTCTGATTTTTACTTCTAGTTGCAAGGCATCTTTATTTATGCAAATCAAATATGTTTGGGTCCACCTTGTAAGTTGGAAGCCTAATGGGCGCAACACGAATAATCCAGTTTTGTTGCTCGAGCACAATGTTACATGCTTCCGTTCCACCATGTTTATATAATTGTTGTTGTGGAATGCAGTATGCTATCATAGAATATGACAGTTTTCAGTTCGGAAGAAGTTTGCATTTATATAAACCTGCCTTAGGCTACAAAAGGCGTATGCGTATTCTAATCATTGCATTCGATATAATTGATTGAGTTACAACGAAGAGAATTAGTTGACGTGTACTGTGGGGCCCTTCCACTCGTTGTCGTTGAAGTTATTACCATGTTGTCCAGCGAAATCGTATAGACTTAGTCAGTAATCATGTTGGATAGTTATATTATCCCTGAAATCGTATAGACTTAGTCAGTAATTATGTTGGATAGTTATATCTTCATCAAACACAACCTTGCCGTCAATTCGATGCCCGTGGACCAACGAGACCCTACAGTATAGAAAACCAACAGGTGTTGCAAGACTGTTCCCTAAGATACCATACAACTCAATCTTGCCATCTTCATGGTGCATTTTGGTAGCTACGGCAACACCATTCGCTCAAATTGGCGTAACATCCTTCCTTGATATCCAGAGGACATACGGCCCCAGTGTGTGCTAACGTCATCGATAGCTTCGTTGTGGAAGAAATAACCTTCGAGCACCATCTCTGAGAATACCTTGCACGTTGTTAACATCACCTGAGTGCCATCTCACGTCAATTCATTCTATATAGACGGCACAGCCACCTGAGTGCTTGCTGGGCATTCACCAGGCTCATTGTGACCCTATAATTGCAACCGTCAGTCTCAAAGCCACGAGTGCAGAATCGTGATTTTCACCTCAAGATAGCCCACTTCCCGAAATCAAAACTCGCTTCCACAACGGCCATCGCACCGCTGCAGCCTGATTGTGAACTCGATTGGTTCGTCGATTTTGTTCATACCAGCAAGGTAGATGATATCGCCATTTCCGGCCTTTTGAATTGCATATGACAAACTGTCGCAGCACCTATTATTCACAACACGGTACCACTGCTTCTCATAATCGGATTTTCACTTTCGACTTTCTTCTTCAAACATTTAATGGTCGCGGGCTAAGGGGTACCGGGTGAACATTTTCAGTACTTTTTCTGACGTTACCGCACATAGTACATCGGCAACAATGCTGGTAATATAGGTACATATTTATGATAGCATCACACTGGAATAACATTTCATAGTTTTTATGGCGCATTTGAAAGGGGAGGTTGAGGAATCGTAATTGGAAGAGTTTGGCGCTGTTATGATAAGAGTCTTGCATCGAACTTCAGTGATAAGTATAGTTATATGACAGCTTGGACCACTACTAAAGTATCAAAAGCAATGATATTAGTATCAATGCTGAAGAACAGCTGAATATCCATTAACTATTGCACGGCCGTGGATATTCATTACTTTAGCAAAAGAGTTCGGTAAACTTGTGAAGATCGCAGTTTTGTAAGGCAGCACAGTTTACCAGTGAAAATTCCAAAACCTCTAACTTCTTAACCTGTCAAGTGATATGATATTCAACTAGACTCTGTAACGCCGAAGGGGCAAGTGGCGCTGCAGAGAGAGTTGTCGAGGGTAGCACTGAACTACTCACAGCATTTGATCTAGTCTAGCAGCGATACTTAGTGAATTTAGCTGCGGTAGTAGTCAATGTTGTACCGATCACTGGTTGCGGCTACAGTGGAATTTACGGGAGCGGTGTTTACAGACGCAGTTGAGCTGGCAGGATTTGAAGCCGTGGTTGTCGCGGCGGTTGTATGTACAGGCTGACAGGAGTAATTTGTTGTCTGCCTAGTCTTCAAAGTAGCTGACAATGTGAATGTGGATGCCGCGCTTTTTATTGTAAACGCTGTGGAAGCCATACCAATTTCTGAGTAGCGACGTATTGAATACCAACAACTTAAACCTGTAAACCGTAGGTGATGTCGATGTCGATGCCGATGCTGATGGCACTGGGGCAGCGGCTTGAGAGGCAGCAGACCAAGCGGTCGCTAGGTGGCGCAACCGACTGAGTTGGCGAGCAGGATGGCAAGGCCACAGTTGATTGCAATGCAGATTTGAAGGCACTGGTGATATTGATTTCGATAAGGACTGCGAAAGACACAATCGGAGTTGTGGGTTGCGACGGTGATTGAGACGGGAAGAAAACTATAGATTGCGACGGAGACTGCGATGAAACTGGCGACGCTGATTGAGTAGCAGCGACTACTGGTGCCACGGCAGGCGCGATCCTTTGAAACTGCTCACTATGTCCTATTCTCTGCTTTCGATTTAATTTCGATGTCACCAGTTCCGAGAGAAGAAACATTGATAAACACCTCAGTATGGTACTTCGCAATCATAACATACAGCGCATATCGTTCTGAGGGTCGGAAATTTAAGCAGGCGATCATGCGTGATTACGCAACACAGCACGCCTCAACTACCACCACTTAGAATCTGTCAAATCTATACTTTCTGCTTGTAGGATGGCTGGCGCTTTGAAAATGGTCGTAAAATAGGTTCATTGTGGAGTAGAGATCCGGTGAGCAAGGCCAATACATGAACGTCAAAGAAGTCACCATCGATATTGCTTAAGCTGAGTGCGACCGCCAAGAAGCAGCAGGCTATATCGGTCAGGTTTCCGAGATCAAAGCCTTCTATATTTATGACTTGTTTGCACTCGCGAAGTCGGGTAATAGAGCCAGGACAATGGATATAGTCACCACAGGTAGCAACCTGGCCGATAGCATAAAACTGACACCAGTCTCTTCACAGTGCCAATGCTATCGGATTCGACCACTGCCCTAGCAGCAATACGACGCAGACTGGCAGCTGCAAGCCGATTGGCCAGCAGCACTCGCTCAACGTCCGGGAGCTCCCAACTATGCGGTGGGATTATGGGGTGTTCCCTCGCCTAGACTAGGGAGTCTGATGAAGTACAACTGAACCTTCGATTCTATACAAACAATGGTCTCTGATTCTGAAGCAAATTTCACAGCAATATTTAATGGGAACCTCGCGCACTATGATGAAATTGCTTAAATACTGGCTTATCACAGACGATGGGACAAGGAGGTATGCCTGCTAGTGTTCCCCGGGATCAATGATGATAAACGTGCTTCGCCGGTTGAATTCACAGTAAACCCTGGCAGTATCGATTTGCACCCTGTGAATCAAAGTTCAATGGTGACCAATTATAGAGCCTGGCGAGTTTCACTAAGCCATAGACCTGGCCGAATCTTTGGGCGTTCAACTACCACCGTGGCGATTCGTGGCTGTTTCCGTCGACCTACGACCTTGGGAGGTGTCGATGTCTTTTCATACCAAGCATGGTTCAGTCTCAACGGCATCGCTGCTGGCATCGCTAGACAATACGATATCAAAACCAATCGTTATAAACGTATTGTGCCTGCACTGTTGCTACCAGTATATCGACCTGCAGCTCCGCGCTCCGATGCTATCAACCACGCTCAAGGAGAATATGAATCGTCAGCAAGCTAAAACCCATAGTTATGCGATGATTATATAGAGCGAAGCCGTGACCGACGTAAACAGCTCAGCCCACATTGCGGTTACAACATTCGCAACAGGGCGAATAACTATGTTTTGTTTATGGTGGTTGGGCATAAGCCGTCTTCCGCTGCATGTGCCCTCGTATTTAACCTATGAATCAATTCAGCCCTTTGCCTGTGGGTTTCAGTCCCGTTCGACAAGATGATTTACACCACACTCGTTGGGAGAAAGCGCCACAACCGTACAGCCAACGCGTTTGCTTCACACGGCCGATTAATATACATGGAAGTCGTCGAGCTCTTGTCGTGACATCTCAAGCCTGCATTCGAGTTCATCGGTCATATAATACTTCGGTGCTACTCTATGATCTGCCCCAGGCCAGACTGAAATAGTACATAAGCGCAGCACAAGCAATTTCGGGCTGAAAGTCAATTTCACAGCTGCTGGTATTCTGTCACATCTTGTTGATCCTCTGACATCTCACTCATATCGCAGAGGTTTTGTGGCTAGCGCAGTATCACTACATCGTGATGGGAATTGCGTTAAGTCATATGTTGCGGATATAATCCTACAAAGGGTACCTTGCTTCTATGGGCACTACGGTGGTTGAAACCACAAATAAAATGGTCGCAGAATTTAATATGCTATTTATGTCTTATCATCGTGCATGGAATGACGTCCGTGAATTTATGGTTATCACTGATTATACTATCCCTAATAATACTATCACTGATTGCAGAATTCCAGACTTACAAGGCATTCCTTCAAAATAGGTTTATCTTGCTTTTCTACGGGGTATGAAAGCGAGGAAACAGAAGGTCCACTGAACAGTCTGTTTATCTCACGTCCCACCCGCCTCTCCTTTTTTTTTATCTGTTCAGCTCTAAACAGGGCTCGAAGGAGTACCGATACGGTTTATCGTGGAAGAGATAGGACATCAGGAATAATACGCATATTTACGCATGAATTGGAATTTAAAACGTTCATATCAAACATTCACAACTATTAAAGGAATTTCCTTTTATTCATAGAGTTTAGACCGCGGTCCACGCAGAGACGCACATGCCTTTAAAAAGAATAAAAAAATGTAGAAAAGCCACTGCGGCCATCCATGGCATTCGATATAAAGCAGCATATCTCGTTCGAAAGTTAAGTACTACTTAATATTATCCTCTAGAGGCTGCTTAATGCTTATCTTGTAGAATGCGATTATGTATATTTTTACACATACGAGGGTTGTTGAGAGCTGGAGGCATTAGAAGTTGGTGGTGTTTGATGCATTTTATCAGATCAGGTCGGTACCGATTACAACTTGCACTTTGCGCGGCCGCGTAAGTTTATGGGCATTGATTGTTATTGATTGATTAAGCTTACTAGTGCTACTTCGTCAATTGATTAAGCCTGGTAGTGTACTACTTCGTCAATTTTAAACAATCAGTGTTGTGAAATAAATCTAGTGCAGCAATTGAGATACTCAACCTATTTGCCAGCATAGTATGCCCTACAGGTTTTAGTGAGTCACGCTCTCACTCTACAGTGCGAGTGTGGTACTGCTAGCTGTCCAGTTTCCGTGACCTTTTTCAATCACTTTAAAACCTACGATTAGTAATGCTGCTGCATATTGTGCAATACCTATACCAGGGTTAATCTTGAAACTGCCCACTGTGTCCTGATACTCCTTTTTTTTCTGCTTTCGATTGAATTTCAATGTCACGAGTCCCGAGAGAAGAAACATTGATCAACACCTCAGTATGGTACTTCGCAATAATCGACATGCAGCACATAATATTCTGAGGGTCGGAAATTTAAGCATCCATTCACGAACAATGGTTTCAGTTGAACCGACAGAGTAATGAAGTTTGCTATCAAAATGACAATGTACACCCCTACTTACTCAGATAGTGCTTCATTGATACCCGAATGCTCGGAACTGTTGTGGCAGAGTTCCAAACTCAATTCCCCGCCCCGATTTGGTAATGTAGTAGCTATATGATCGTGAGCGTTCATTCCGACACTCATACTACAATCGTCATATAAAAGAGACTTTTTTTTATCTAAAAGTGACTAAAAATGCACACTTGCGTGTTTTGATGTAATGATCAGTGAGACTATATTGAAGCTTGTCCATGCCCTACACAGCACTAGCTGGCCTCAATAGTAAATATGACTGCATACCCCCTCATCATATGGCTATGTCTTGACCAACAAACACCCGACTTATAAAGTACTTAGGTCGAATCATATCAACGATATTGTTGCGATAGCAGGCGTTTCTCATTACAAGTGCACCTAAGTCAGTCGTGTGCGTCCGTGTATAATGCGAGCGTTCCGTTGGCCACTTCATCCGAACTGTGGTTACTAGTCGCCAGCAACGACTGTAGAAACATTCTAGAGACTGTTGCGGTATTGCGACTATCACGACAAGCATTCCTACGCCCCCTCATCATAGGACGAAACACCACACTGCTTAGCGTGAAAAATAGGATATTATGCAATCAGTATAGGCGCTACCGAATGTAATATAACATCAAATATGTGCTTAAAATGTTTTGAGTCTGCTAGGATAACACGTGAGTTACAACCCCGATGGTGATATACTCTTATTTGAAGGTGACGATACCCGCCACGCAGTACAAGTATGCATGGACCTCCAAACGTAGTACACGAATTGGAAGATCTTGAACATTTATAATCGAGCTAATCAAAGGCGACTGGGTGTCAACAGACCACAGAGATTCATTCAGACACAAGCAAAGCCAAATCACTCCAGAATACCATACGGGTATAAAACCCCCCAAGTGACCGAATACAAATACTGTCGTTGAATGGGCGGTACAAGTGAACCGTAGTTCCAATTGCCTACCTATGAAAAACAGAACAAAGACCGCAACTACTCCGCCGATCAGAAATTGAAGCTGTAGGGAGGACGCGAGCATGCAAAGGGTATAGAAATACAACAGGATGAGTAACGGGACTGAGTTTGAGGATACAAGACGAATTTGAAGCCAATTCATCCAACAAACCAGTACACTCTGCAGAGCCGCATACTGTCAGCTGTACACCCCCGACTTGTTCACCACAGAGGTTTGTTCCTGATGATATGCCGATAGCAGTGTGGATAGCAGGCGCTAATATAAATACATAAACCAATCAGATCGAGGGGTTGGCAACCCAGCCATAGGCCTTCACACACTAGACCTTAACATAGACGGCACAGACCCGCTTCAATTAAATGTGTCGTTCGACTGTATGCATCAGAAAGATGCGAGTGCTAGTCAGTCCATCAGACACTTTGCAGAGAAAGATGAGATGGACAGCCGCGTGAGAATACAGTGCGACTACAGAGGCCTGCCAACTCCGCCATGAACATAACAAGCGGAGTGACACTTTTCATAACGTATCCGAGTCAGATATACACATTGTGAGCCGGCAAACACTCAGAAACACTACATAGTAACACAAGCAATGTCTGTATACCACAGCGGTGCAATTAGGAAACGCCAGAGATCCACGGGCAAATAGAAAGGCAAGATCTAGCGCACGAGACGCTGAACATACCCTGATTTTCTGCCACCACATTTGTCTTCGCACTCGGTTGGACCCACTTCGGAAAGCTTCTGCACCCTCCATTAATCCCTCTGTATAGTTTGGGACCAAACGATGCCAATAAGTTTCGGTCATACTAAATAGCAATGCCGAGATGCACAATAGGTATAACATTTAAACATAGGTCTCCTTATCATAAAAATAATGTAGGTTCCCCAGAGAGTCAATCGCTATTTAGGTACAGAAATACCACATCCTCGCCACACTCATGGAGAGGAATATGCCGCTTAGTGACACACAGGCACCACGTGCACGTACGTCCTTCTCGTAACATTTGGCACAGAAGAAACACACCAAATCGACATATGTCCAGTACGGCCGTGTAAACGACTCACAACTGGCGACAACATCACACCATTAGACTACGCAATGTACAAGACAGAATATGTGTATTGTCAGCCCATCTCAAAGGATGATAAAAATATATATTTTCTCGGGAACAACGTATATAGTCAGCCCATATCAAAGGATGATAACACTATATCGTTGCTCGTGAACAGAATACCTATGAAGCGGTGTAAATGTGATGCTGTGGCAGTACAACATGTAGCCAATAGCTAGGTACGCATACCTGATCTCTCCTCAATTTGTTCCAACCTATCGCCCCGATCTAATACCTTCCCTGTAGGTGTCATAGTTTACCAGAACAAGAGAAAACAGGTCAGAATTTTATCTGCGGCAGAACAGTGAGTGTACCGTTTGTTTAGCTTTGTAGAGACAGGTAACACATGTGCAAGTATACAAGAAAGACAAGGAATAAACCTTTATGTCAGCAGATTCAAGGGGGTGTAAAGTAAAATAAAATCCCGAACTGTCTAACAACTTTACCTACCAAGAAGAGCTATTTCTAAGCCAATGGGCGAAGCAACCCATGACCAGAGTACAAAAAGACAGTCATGATTACGCACATACCAATATTGTCTTTCATGACATCCACAACGGAGTCCACTCCCCGTTGCACTCGATTCATCCCACTCATACTTCTGTCGGTATCTCTAAACGACAATAGGTCGAACATAGAGGCGAGTGAACATCAACTATACTTAAAGAGCTTGAGGTGCTTATATACGTATCCCTAAACAGTAACAGATCAAACATACCCTGTGATCGAACTCAACACGTGAGGAATATATTGATTCGTCAGTACTAAAGCGCAAGCAAGCGAAAACCATTCAAAAACACACTTCTGAATACTACAGTCAGCCGGTCTGCGGGTGACTGTTGGCAGCTAATTAGCATACTTCCGAATACACGCACATTGTCTGGAGTCGAAATAGCTTAAGCGCCAGCACCACAGATATGAAAGATTTACAGAAATGATTGCCCCCCACACACCACAATCCAATTATACAATCACTATTCGACCCTAAATAGCACAATACTATTCGATATATGAATCTGTGTGAGCTCCTTTGCTCAGTTTCGGCGCTACAATAGCACGACTAGAGCACTTGTGCAACCTGGTGCAAAAAAGGCTTTTCCTACGTATACAATGCGACTTTCTATGTCACATGACAGACGCTACTTAAACTGTCAACTCATCGGTATACTCACAATTTGCGACATGCCGTGAACATAAAGGTAATACCATAGCATCACAGATGCTACCTTTATGGGGTAGCCTATCATACAGTCCACCCAATCATCATCAAATGACAAGATTCCACACACACCACCTTCAGGATGAGCAATTACAAAGCACCTCACACACAGGTTAGGGCGTGAAATTTCAGCACTACACAACATACATTTGACAAGCATGACATACAAAAGGGGATCATCGTCACTATCCTCTGCATCTCCGAATAAATCATCCTGTGTGGGGAGAGTGAATGAGCACCAGATGGACACGCAATGATGAGATATACGCGTTTTGTATGCCGGAAATTCGAGGATTTCAGCCATGTAAAATTTAGTTCAAGTTAAAGAAACATTGCAACAATAAACCTAAAAAAAAGAAAATATATACAATCAGACCCCTTCGATTCTCGCCAAGAATTCAAAATAGGAACACTATCGGCTATTTTGATCCGAGTGCGCGACAGAACAAATAACAAAGGCACACACACACCGTGACCAACCCTCCATTCTCAACCAAATTAATTTAAAAAAAATCACTCCGTAGCAGAATCGCCGACTCAATGTATACCAACGAAGTATAACTAT